AGCGTTTCTCTCTGGCCCTGAGTAACCAGCAAAATGTCAAGTTTTTACTAGGTTGTTTTGATTTTTCCACTTCTTATTAGGCTCCGGTGACCTTTTGGTGCAGTGACCGTTCCCCTCTCTTGCACATATTGATTACCACAACTGGAGATCCTCAGATCTTTCAGCTGGCTAGGAGGGTTTGTTAAAACTGTCCAAGTTACTGGGTTCTATAATTGTATGTAGGTGGTTTTAAAATGCATTAGGAAGAAACACTAATGACGTAGCACCCATCGCGAGGAACATTTCAAAAAGCACTTCGGTAAAGACAGTCACGTGCCATCACGTACGCGTGCGTGGTGACAGTCAGCTCTCCTGGACCAAACCACCTTCATGATACCATTGCGTTCTGTGTTTGCAATTCAAGCTTAATTCCTTTTTTGTTCTGTTTTGTTTCCATAGCTTTTTTTGTTGTGTTTTGTGCATTTTGAATAGCTTTATTCACATGGGTTTTTCATGCAGACTTCCCTTGGACAGTAAATCAAGTTGTTTGTGCATGTGAACAACTGAGAATTAATGTCGGCTTGATAGAGTCATAATATGGTTTGTAATGTTGTTCTTCCCTGAGACCACTGGCTTGTCTGGTATGGAAAATTTATTTAGAACTTCAGCTATGTTTGAATAAAGTTAAAGTAATCCAATTTGTTTATAAATTAAAACCAAAAGCCCACCCAGCCCTGAAAACCAGCGCTGTGACAAATGGTACCAAGATGTTTTAATGCGGTAGGAGAACAAATTGGCATCACTGCAGGCAGCAGGCGGCTTTGGTTTTAGTGCTCAGCCGTTGTTCTCACCTGACTCGCGTTTAAAAGCTGCTCGGTGGCACAGAAGGTGGTTTGGTTGCAAAGGAACGTGGCTCCCATGTGAACGCAGGAGTGTCAGCTGCGCGGTACTGAATAAGGCGCTCTTTTGGGGGAGCGATAAGCCAGACGCAGAAGCCGAGCATGAGGCCAGCCCGTGTGCGCCAAGTCTTTCTCAGCGTGATGCCTCTGCTCTTTAAAGCTGGTTCGAAGTGATGTCTGATTCTAGGCGTGTTCGCACTGATGCTCCTGTGGGTCTTCAAAAACAAGCGAAAGAAAGCCCAGTTTGCCCAGGACGACTGGTCACCAGATGGAACTGCTGTCAGGTCCTCTGGGAACTGCTGAGGGGTGTTCAGTACAATCCAAGTGAACAACACTCCCATTGTTGGTGTAACTCCATACATATATATCTATATATACATATATATATCTGCATATGTATATCTGTAATATAGATATATATATTTAAACCCTTTTCATTCCATTAGTACAAGTAACACTTGTTTCCTGTTATTCTTATTTTGTTTGTCAACCGTGTATTTAATCACTGGGCTGAACAACAGTGGAGGAAGGTGCAAGGGATCCACTCCTTACTAACCAGTGATAAAAGCCAGATATTGCAACTTAACCCGTGAGTAGTTGTGCAGACAAGAATTTAAGAATGATGTGTCGAAACAACACTAGTGGCCAGGGGTGCTGAAGATACAGAACTATAACCAGGCAGGAGGGCTTCGAAGGATGCCTCAGTTCGGAAACCGCTTGCTCAGAGAGGATGAACAGCCTCTGAAACTGAGCGCAGCGGGTAAATCAGAATTGAGAAACGTTTGGGGAGACGCAGGAAAACAAAGGCAGTGGAAATGGGTATTTACGAAGACACAGGGCTTGGCAGAAGTTTGAGGTAGTTTCCTGAGCTTAATACGTGGGACGGCATCAGAGCTCAGGTATCACAGTTCTGATCATTGGTACTTGTAAATAAACCTCTGGACTTTCCAGCTGGAGCGGTAAATTCATTACCGGGAGTTTAACAGTTGTCATCACTGGTCTGTATGAATCAGTCTCAACTTACAGTTGGTCTGTTTTGCAAGTACCTTAAGACTATCACTAGTTTGTGTGTGTGCATACGCGTGTGTGTTCATCTCTCTTTTTTTTTTTTTTGTGTACGCGTTTCGTTGATTAGTAACCATTAGCATTTTCAATAGGGCTTTAAGTCCAGTAGATTACGGGTAGTCAGTTGACGAAGATCTGGTTTACAAGAACTAATTAAATGTTTCATTGCATTTTGTAAGTACATAGAATAATTTTATAAAATGTTTGTAGTTTATAAATGCCTAAAATATAATTTAAGGGCACTTTTCTGTGTCTGTGTATGGGTGTGTCTGTATGTGATCAGTTTTTCTGATGGTACCAGTTTACTAGCTAGCTTTACAATATGCCAAAAAGGATCGTTAACTTGGCCAATTCACGGCGTGTCCCTCTCCCCCCACCCGCCCAAGCTTTGTGTCCCAGTATATAGCGAACGGATAAAGGAGTTGGGGAAATGTTCTGTATCTTCAGTATCCTGGTCTTCCAGAGCCCTCTGGTTGGGGTGGGATCATCTTAACTGGTCATTTCACTTTCCTGTCTAGGGCAGTTAACTTAATGGATTACAAGAACCTCACTGGTCGGGGAAACAGAACGGGTTTTGCTGCTACCCAGTCTCACTTGTGCTGTTCAGTACCTGCTTTACGGTGGCCCTGTGTGGTTTGAAGGATGCAACTGCATAAGAGAAAGAGGGAAGACGGTTTTCATAATTACTATCGAATAACTATTTGCAGATTTCTTATCACTTTAAAAGTTTGTACGCAGCCTCTAAAGATGCTGAGCACCATTTGAAGCTTTGTTGAAACGAGCAAGGCGGGGTCCCTATTTATTTTTATTTAAGAGTATTGAAGATCCCTTCCCCCTCGCTCCCCCCAGATTTGACGAACCACATTGCTGAAGGGTTACGATGATTTAGATACTGTTTAAAAATCAGCTCTTCTGTTTTCTGAACCAGTGAGGTTTGAGATGAAAGGATTGGCCAGAGTTCGTCTACCTCTGGGACAAAAACAAAACTAGAAAGTGCTAAGGAATGGATGCAGTTGCAAATACAACATTTTCCAATTTTTCGTGTTTAAATTTTTTTAAGAGAAAATTAAACGATAACATGGCCAATTTATTACATAAAAAGACTTGCTGTGTATAAATTATTCCTAAAGAAATTCCTGTGTTTATATTAAAATGAATCAGTAGATAAAAAAAAAATTTCAAAATGTTTTTGTATATTCTGTTGTAAGAATTTATTCCTGTTATTGCGATATACTCGGGATTCTTTACATTATGAAAAGAAGAAACTTTGTCTATTTTGAATGGCTGAAGCTAAGGCTCCTTTAGTTTCTCTTACTCTGCTTTTTTCTAGTAGTTTCAGTACTACATGATTTAAGTTAAATAAAAGAATTCTGTATGCATTTGCCTGTTTCTGAATTTGTTGCTCCTTATGTGAAGCAAGTACAGGTTAGGAAACTCAGAGGAAATCTCTGCTTTTCTTCTGCCCTTTTTGGCTGCATTTAATTGAGCTACTCTGAATAAATCGTAGTAGAGGTCAGTACTGCCACTACGTTGTGTTGAAAGCAAAAGTACTTGCAGCCAGTGACGCAGAGCTTGTGGACCCTTTCTCGATGGGTCTTTGAGTCCAGTTTGGAGTAAGTACTTCCCTTGAAAAAGGTAAGCGTATTCTTTTATTTACTTGAAGATACCCCGCTTATTTACCCATGCAGCAATCCATAGATGAGGCACTCAACCACTCAGCACGAAGTTACCAGTTTTCTGTAACGGTCACTGGAAAAGACAGTGGCAAGAAAACTGGAATTATCTTGGCGTTTCCAGTTCCTCTACTCTTGTCATCAAAGTGTTGCCTGAAATAAGGCACGATGGAAAAGCTCCATCAGCTGTTGGTGCTGTTAGGTTTGTCTGTTGTCCTTTTTGCTGATGTAATGCTTGAGGAACGGGCTTTTGTTTCCCTTGGAGAAATCCCAGGTGTCCACATTACGTTGCTGCTGTCCTGTTGTAGTGACTGTTTTTGAGAAATGCCTGCTAATTTTCTCTCATCCGTGTCTGTCCTGGGACCAGCGAGATTATCAAGGAAAGCCTGCGCTGGCATTCCCTGTGTGCTGAAGGGGAAGTGCTGTAAACCTCTGCCATACGCAGCTCTCATGGTGCAGTTCTGTCTATGGCTGTGTTTGAGAGGTGGCGGGGGAAGCACAGAAGGGATCTGTCACTGTCCGACTCCAAGTTTTACAATTTGGGTTCTTACGCGGCTCCTGTTTTCTAAGGAACATGAAGTGTCACAGCACAGTGCTTCAACCATTGCCATTCTTGGGACAAGTTAGCTTTTTGATTTTGATGTGTAAGTCCCTGAACAGCCGTGACCTGTTCTACTGAAAGCCTCTTGTCTTTGTGCTGTGCTCTGTGGAAGGACCACGGTGTTTTCCTTTGGGACAGGCGCTGAGAATGTGGGGTAGGTGGTGGTTTTAGGCAGTTGAAACCCAAATCACTGAGAGCGTTACAGTTCTGGCTGGATTCCAGCTTGTTTACTTTCTTTGAAGTCACCCTGGGTTTATAATCCATTTCTGATGTGAAACCAGCATTTTGAGCAGGTCACTAAGAGATAATTGTAAAACTTCACATAACAGGATCTCTACGTGTGTTTTGTTTTCCCCCGTATTCACATTTTTTATGTGGGCACTTTGTATGGCTGAACCATCTCTCTGGACATGGACAGGGGTGAGGGGGGACCTCTGTTATATCCATCCATGCTGAAGATCCTTATGGCTGTAAGCATCCAGCTTGGGGCAGCAAGTCTTTATTCATATCTTCCTAACCATCAGAACTAGGACTAAGCATCTAAAATGTTTTAAGTCCAGTTTCATGCCTTCTTAAATCTGAAGCAACCTTATCATTGTTACCAATACAGACTGCTAATCTTGGTTTTTCTCTCAAGCTTTTTACACCAAAGAGAAATGTTTGGGTTTTGTAAGGAAATGTCACTGAAAATAACAAGGAATATAAAATCCTTTATGTAAGGTTTTTAAAAGATCTTTAGATTTGCTTCATTTAAGAGGTAAGGAATTGCATTCTAAGAAATCTTCATTTTTTTCTTATATGATCCATCTTGCTCTCTTTCGTCCCCCACTGCTTTAACATTTCTAAGATAATTGTCTGTAATGCTTTCCCTAGAAAGTCTGCTGTTGCCGATTTGGATAACGGAGGCACATGGATGAAAGCTGCTCTTCCATTGCCATAATACAGAGAAGCGTAGTAGGTGTAATCACAGATATACCTGCAATATTCAGAACAAAACAAAACCAGGAACGTGAATTAAGAAACAGCAAACTGATTAAATTTACATGTTCTTTAAGTAGCCAAACCAGACCTGGTTTATGAAATCATTAAAAACATATTTGCTTAGTGAACAAAGGAAATGCTGAAATAAACCAAGTTTGAGAAACAAATGTTCCTTATCTGATGGTTTGCTTTCTCAAGACACCCACCCAGAAGGAACTTTAAATAAAAAAATCACAAGCCATGAATTCTTTTCTAGGCTCTACAATCTATGGGAGATGGGAAAGGTAACGCAGCCCACTGGACTACATCATTTTGTTGTGTAAATCACACAATCTCACCGTCTGGAGGATTTTCCTTACTACCCTGCCTTTTAACTTACAGGTGGAAATCCTGCAATTAAAGGCCAAAACTAGCTGATTTTTATTTTTTAAAAATGAGCCAGTTTTCTGTGTTTTCCTTTTAAATGAAGACTAGCATGATAGAAAAATTGCTTCAGTACTACTGAAACACATAATGAGATCACGGACATCGTTCAAAAGGTACCTGTAATTGCTGTGTTCTTCGGTGTACGTATTTGCATTTTGTATCCCTCCCAGTTGGGAAAAATAGATTAAAATCTGCTACTAGTCAGTATTGCTTTCAGACTCTCTTAATAGCTCAGGTTTACCGGGGTTGTTAATCACAGGGTGTGCTGTGTTGAAACTTGTTTCTTTTGGAATTTACAAATCCATGGAAAAATATCTACTGGCTGTAGTTTTTCACGAAGGCTGCTTTACATAAAATTTAAATTTACCCCAATTTCATAGTTGTGCCCCTCTGAAGACTGCTTCAAAGTGATTTTGGTTGGAGGAAAAGTCATTGCAAAGATTCTTCAAGGTTAAATGAGCTGATTGAGTTACTTCTGCTTTTACTGTGAGACCCCGATACGCAATGTTTACCTTCCCGCATCTCTGGAAAAGATTATATCAATCCCTTCCACTGAAATGTTTTTCCAGAGAGTCTTCATGTTAATTGTAGATTCAATCTTTTCCGGGCCATCTAGCATGCAACAGCCACCTTCTGGGTGAAAACCACAAGCATCCATCTCTTGGTAGCCTTTGTTCTTCCCACACTGCTCAAGGATGATGACTGCTTTGGCGGATGAAGCCAGCCCAACGTGAACAGTAAGCTGTTTTTTCCCACCAAAGTGAATAACAGGAAATTAAAAAATGAGACCTGTTTTTTTTAAAAAACATGCGATGCAATAGTGCCAAGCATTATACTAGCTTCAAGGTAGGGAGTCTTGCTGTAGCTCATGCCTAAAGAAAACTTTGATAAGAGATTATAAATGAGACCAAAATTGTGCTTTAGGTTTTGGTGTGTCTAGTCAGCTCAGGACTTCAGAGCTGCAGTACCTTTTTTGCAATTTATGGTGGATTTTCTTTTTTCCTTTGTTCAGAGTGCACTTACACTGTTTAAATGGCACAGGGTTAAATAAAATGCTAATTATTGTGTGCTCCAAATTGGTTTGAAACCTTTATCACAGTTTTAATAGTCACCTTCCAGAGTTGTCTGATGCACGTATTTTGCAATACCCTTTTGGAGAACTTTTTAAAGCTCCAGTCAGAACAATAATATTCATTAATGCAGAGGAAAATTTGAGTAACTTTCAAATTCCTCACCAGTGGCCGAAGAGTTTTCCATATCGTGAAGACTTGCTCCTTTGCTTTTTGGTAAACCACTGGCAGCTGCATGATACGCAGATCTATGTTTTGACCAAGGCCTCTCTTGGACAGCTCCTGTGTTTACAAAAAAAGCCACCATGGACTTGTAAGAGCATTGCTTTTCTCAGACTGCGATAAAGAAATCAGGCTCATCCAACTGAGAACGCATATGAAAGAGCAATGTAATGCTGTCTACACCTGTGGTTCCTAAACACTGGTCAGCAGCGAGAGTCAGCTGTCTTGTGGTAGCTCTCCCTTTTTTAACTGGAAGAGACTAAAATGTGCTAACCAATTTCCTAATGTCAAGTCCACGTGGAGCCATTGTTCTGTTTTCCAAAGGGATGCTCAGTCTCCAATGGGTGGGAGTGGTTATTGCTTAGGGACTGGTCCATGGGAACCACGAAATAGAGGATCTCTCAGAATCTCTCTGCACTTGAAAGCATCTAAATAAGCTTTGATACAGGTAAGAGCTGTTCCTCTGAAAAATCTCGTCAATAAACCTGCACTATCAAGAGACACAAATAAGGGAGAATTCGCATTAGCTGTCCACTCAAATGACGTGATCTACTGACTTGAACTGGTTCAGGTAAGCTCTGGTCTAGAATATGTTTCTCTAGTAAAAGGAAATGTCACTTACTGGGATGTTATTTCTCTGTCATTTACATAGAGTTGAAGTTCCACACGGGACTTGTTCCCAAAGGAGACAAAAATTATCCCCAGAATTGAGGTGAAATTAAACAAAGGCACCCCTCAAAGCAACAGGTTGGCCAGATGGTTGGAAGATGGCCTGGAGAACAAATGTCATGTGAAAATGACTTAAAATTATTTTGTCAGTGGAATATGGCTAACGAACAAGGCATAAGCCTCTAAGTAGAAGGCAGGCTGCTGCAATGCCAGGATGCAGAAGGAATGCATGTGAGGTAAAAAGCTTTGTCCCAGAAAAGTGAAACAGTGGTTGAAAATCCCTGTTGCATTTGAGTAGACCGCTACCCAAGGAGGGTACAGATAAAGTTTCGGGGAGGGGGGAGGGGGGACATAGGCAAAAAGTCAGCAGCAAAGGTATGTGATTAGCCCAAGAAACCTGTAACTTTTTATTAAATGTCTCCTCAAGCTTTCATTCCTCACTAAGGATACTTGTGTGGATGAGGCCCACGGTTCTAAGCTGTGCTAACTGGGAAATTTGCCCTTCAACACTGGCTTCCTATATAAACTGTTCCAATTTTCTTGTCAGCGGAAACATTGATTAGCTGTGCTCAATAAACTATTTGACACAAGCAAGGAAACAATGCCTGCAGGGAAGTAAACACATTTGGAGAACAGTGCCAGCCTTTTTTCCTCTGGGCGCTGACAGTCTTTGAGAGACCATTGCATCATCTTGCTTAAGAATGCTGTACTGTGTTTTAGCTTCCAAAAAAGAAAAACCCAGCTGGTTAACAATTAGCATTTTCTTTTCTAAAGCATCTTTAATTTTAACATTTAATGAGATTCTTCCTTTTTATCCTTAGGGCTTAGAGGACTCGACTACCCCTAACTTTGGTACAGAACGTGGAGACTCAGAGTTGTTAGGCTGTTCTCCTCTTGTGCTCTCTGGATTGACATTCTGTTGTCATGGTTTGTCGTGGCAGAAACAGGCAGAAATACTTTTGTGCAGGACAAAACCGGAAGCTGGCCAATAGCAAAGGGCAGAGAATTTGTGTCAAAGGAAGATAGTTCGCTATGTCCTAAGCAATTTCAGCATGTTGTCAATAATGTGTATTACTTTGTCGTCTAAGAATCCTAACCATGGGCTTATACCCCACTAGACCAGATGTTGTACAAATACGGAATAAAAAAAAAAAAGGTTGTTCCTTGTCTCAGCCAAGTCTCAGCCTTAACTAAAACCATTTTTGCATTTAAGGTGAGAGACTGAAGATGGTTAGAGGAGGATGACTGAATCTGGAAACTAGAGCTCACACTGGTGAGTTAATTCAGTAAACAAGTGCCCGTCTTTTGTAGTTGAAACAGCAAAGGAAACTTCAAAGGAGGACAAAAGTTTTGGAGGCCTTTTTTGTGGGAAAAGTGGTTCAAAAGAAAGCATGAAGATTCTCTGTTGGGAAGTTCTTCTAAAAGGGAAATGAAATGCAGCATTATCAGCTGACGACCTTGAGCTGTTGGCGAGTTGTGGTCATAGTCCTGGTCCACCGGAGTTCTGGCCCACGTTGTTACACAGCCGTCCCCAATGAGAAGGGATTTGCACAGAACAGGTGAGCTCAGATGCGGTGGTTGTGTGTCACACGGGGTGTCAGAAGCATCTTGAACTTTTAAAAAACTCCAGTTTGCCCTAGTTTTCACTGATTTGGGTTGCCAGGACCAGGAATGGAGGCAGGGGGCTGCCATGTATTAATTTTGTGAACCTCATTCAAAAAGGTTTGTGTTGGTGCAGAAAGAAACCCAGAAGTTATCAGTTGACCCTGACACTCTGCAAGTATGTTGCAAAAAATGTTTTGGTGTTTGGGGTTTTTTTGTTTTTAAATCCAGCAGATACCACTTTAAAGCTTTAGGGATGTAAGAAAGTTCCAGAATAGAAATGAAGGAACTAAATAGCAGTGTCATCTTAGTTCCACAGACGATGAAACTAAAGCAGAGATAGAGACAGAGAGATTAAATGACAAATTTCCAAAGACCACATGGTCAGTGGCAGGATGAAAAACTGCACCCAGAGATCTGATCCTCATCTCCCGATAGCAAACATAATTCCCAGAAGCAGTTGGAAATGTGACCTGTTCTTTGCACTAACAGTTTAATTACTATGAATGTTGTCACTCAACTTACATTTGTGCCCTATTAAGTGGGGACTTTGACCTTGATGGTAGACTGTCCTGATAGGTTATTTAGCTGCCAAGTGCCAGACTGGAGTTTCTGGAGGAGACACAGAAACAGGGTCAGATCAAGGGTTATTAGGTGGGACCATCAATCTGTAATATGGAATAAATAATTCAGGGGATCTGGGATTCTGAGGGTCCCATGTGGTGCTGAAGAACTAACATCATGATAATTCAATGTGATCTGTCAGGAAATGGGGAGTAAATACCTGTTGGTGTTTTCTTCAGGGAGAATGTCCTGCGCTTCCAGAGTTAAAAGTGCTGCTGGTGGAGCTTTCGTGCGTATTTTAGGAGGGTATTTCAGGTGAATGGAGTTATGAGAAGCATGAAAAACTTAGTGAGACAGGTTTCTAAAAGAGAAGCTGTCTTTCTAGTGCTAGACAACCAATGTTGAGCCATGTGGTAGTGTCTGTAAAAGCTCTGAAGCTTTTCTCAATGACCCTGAATTGACAGGTTCACCTGTACTTTCAGATCCATTTGACTATCCTTTTCCCTGAACACTTGAGGGGTTCTTGCTGAGGAATGAGAAGTCCGTGGATGCAATGCTGATGAATGCCTTGCGTGCGAGTCATCTTGTGCTTTGATGAGAACCTGGGTTCATGCAAAACCAACAGGCTACTCCTCACGTTCTTGGAAAATTATATTTTCATATTATAAAACAGGCAGTGGGGGTAATGCACTGCTATATAGTGTTGATAAGAAATCCAGGAATTGAGAACAAATACCCTTTCTAAACCAGCAGAAATAGAGATTTGGAGAGTTTTATTAACATCTATCATCCGATTCCTGGGGATTTCACAAAAAAAAAATTGGCTTATTCACCGAAAAGGTAGTAGTAAATGGATAATTTGTAAGAGAAACAGTATCGCACAATCATTTTTCTGAGTGCCCAACGAGGGCACAGAAGGGATGCAACTATTGGAATGGGCTGTGTGCTCACTGGATCAATCTCTGATTCTCCCTAGAGCAAGAAAAGAGGTTCGGGAAAATGGCTGATCCCATCAGCAAGGCAGAGCGCAACAGCATCTTACGGAGAAGCTATAGCAGGGATCTTAAGGAAGCAGATGTGTGTAAGACCAAGTATTGCTCAAAAAAGAGAAGACATTGCTCTTTGGCAAAGGCTCCATTCCAAAAAGCATGGAGCATGACGCTATGCTTTGAGGAATTAGGACCCTGGGAGTCCTGTTACAGGTATTTTTTACAGGATTTCAGATGCTTTTGGTGTGAGGACCCTTCTGGGATAGGAACTTATAAGACGAAATGTATCCGTGTTATAACATCACTAAGGGTGCCATGGTATCCAGGCTTTTGATAAGAACCCAGCTCATTTTAAGGTAGTAATTCAGATAGTTCTGGATAAAGTACAAAGGCATTAAACGTGAGCGATCATGTTTAGCAGCTCAGGTCTGGCTGTTCACTACTTTCTTGAGGATGAGTTTGAGTGTACTTTTGCTTGGCTCTCAGAAAAGAGACTCAGCAGGAGGGCTTTATGTGACTTTAGTGATCCATGCTGGAACCCCAAAGCCAAAACAGGATTACTTCCAGATGTAAATACTAAATTTTGCTATCTTTAATATATGCACATAAGCTTCCTGAAGACCATAGGGCTACTCATGTGAACAAGGCCAATGGAACAATACCATGAGATTGCTATTTAGTGTGGAGAAGCCTATCAACATTCAAAGTACTTCCAGATTTGCAGCAAATTTCCCTGAATTGTTTGGATTAACCACCTTTGCCAGGGAATAGGAAACCAAAGCTGCATCCCCAGTATGAATACAAATTAATTCCACCCAGAGGGTGTCATATCAGAGGGAAATGGATTTGTTCTCCTCCATACACAAGGACTGACATCTGTTTCATTATGGAATGGTGTAGTCCTTGTTATATAACTTCCTGGCGTAGCCAGCGCATGGCATTGTTACAGAAAACTCATTGGTGCGTTTTTGCTTTAGGCTGTTTTGCTTGCAGATAAAGAACATGTTTTATTTTCAGCCAGAAGAGGATGATCTTGCACCCAAAATTAGAACCAATAGGAATCAGGAAATAATGAGCAAGAACATTGTCAACTGACAAATATTTGTGGTTTAGGGCACATGTCAAGTTGGAGTTAAGATAATTTATGGGTCTCCTGTGATGACTGAGGTGTGGAAAGGTATCACACAAGTATTTTGTTTCTTGTTAGCCTACAGGGATAACATCCCTCATGCCTTTGACTGGGTAATAAATTTATTCTCCCAATCACCAAGTTGTAGTCAGCGTTCTTCACCCAACAAAGCTAGAATAGAAAATATGTATAGGTTGGCAGAGTTGCTACAACTTTGGTTTTTGGAAAAATGTACTAGCTCCTTGTTTTTAAATCATCTTGGCTTGACTGCTCTTCGTTGTCAAGACAGATCTTCAGTAGTTGTCACCAAAACTTCTAATATGGTTACAGTCCTGTAGAGTCAACATCTTTCTATCACTAGGTCATGGTTTCAGTTGGGATAGAGTTAACATTTTTATTAGCAGCCGGTATAGTGCTATGTTTTGGATTTGGGATGAGAAATACTTTTGATAGTCCACTGGTGGGTTTAGTTGTTGCTAGGCAGTAAAGGCCTTTTCTGCTCCTCATATTGCCCTGCCAGCGAGTGGGCTAAGGGTGCACAAGACGGTGGGAGGGGATGCAGCCAGGACAGCTGACCCCAGCTGATGGAAGGGCTGTTCCATACCATGTGACATCATGCTCAGTATATAAAGCTGGGGGAAGAAGAAGGAAGGGGGAGAATGCTTGGAGTTACGGCATTTGTCTTCCCTAATAACTGTTAGGCATGATGGAGCCCTGCTTTCCTGGAGATGGCTGAAAACCTGCCTGCTGATGGGAAGCAGTGAATTAACTTCTTATTTTGCTTTGAGTGCGTGGCTTTTGCTCTATTAAACTGTCTTTATCTCAACCCATGAGTTTTTTCTCACTTTCACTCTTACGATTCTCTCCCCTATCCCAACTGGTACGGTGAGCAAGTGGCTGCATGGTTCTAACTGCCAGCTGGGGTTAAACCACTATACATTACTAGTACTTTCTTATAGATACCTTTATAATTTCAGTGTCCAGAATTGAAATATTTATGGGCTTATTTCAGTGTCCCTAATAAAACATAGTCCCCTCAGTTTGTTTTACGTGTCTTGCTTTCCGTATTTACCAGTATTATCTGTTATTTCTTGTAGACATTGGACCAGTCTTCCAATTCAGTTTTACTACTTTGACTGTTTTCTAACTGGTTTCCGATTTCATTGTGTTAACCTTTTTTCTACCTTGGAATTGCTAAGAACTTGTATGAAAGACCACCTCAAAATAACTCTGTTCATAAATACCTTATGAGAGTAACTGAACCCAAGGAATGGCCATTGTCTGTGCTAGGGAGAATGAATGAACCTTGCACGTGACTTTTACACATACTCAGCAAATCTCTGCAGCTGTTCCTACTGTTTGAACATATATATTATGACCTTTCACACTTTAGATCGAGCTAGTGTACTAAAGCACCAAACTAGTAAATCATTTCATTGTAGCAGACATACTCTTACATACAATGGTCGAGTATTTATTTTGTAAGACATATTTAAAGACACAAGTTACGTTATTGTTAAAACTTAAGTATTTCAAAAATGAGTAGTCCTGTTCATGAAAAATAATCTATTTGTGGAAATTTTTGGTGTGTCCCAAGAAATGTGCATTCACACAAACAGTAACTAGAAAATAGACTGTTGTACACAAAAGCTTATGCTGAAAGCCAGGTACCTAAACCATATCTTTTTATCATCCAGCTAAACTTGTTCTAATACACATACTTAGGAAACAAGCAGGCATTTTCAAGACATGTTGTTACTGCTAGTCAAGGTGTATGAAGGGGCAAGAAATCTGAATGACCTTGTTTTCAATTTCAGCTGTAGACTTCACTGTCATTTGAAAGTGGACGTCAAAGCTGAGATGTGAAAACATACTTAAAATAGGCATGCTTTAGGTTTTATGTTCCTGAAGTAGGCAGTAAGAACTCAATAGGCTACACTTGTACAAGAAGTTGCCTCACACACACGATAAAATGAGTTGTGGTATGAGATGATCTGTTTACTGAAGATAGAGATAACCTGTGGCATATGCATTAGTTGCAGAGAAGGCACCCTGGGTAAAACCCATCTTTTTTAAAAATTAAGAATAATATTTTGAAAAGTGCTTAAATAGCACACACACGCGCGCACACACAAAATCCTGCAAATAAAATAATGTTTCACTTCTTAATTATCCTCTTTCTTCCATGTTGGGAGTCTGCTTCATAAGGCACAATTCTGTTTAATGAGTCATGAGAAATAACTTTCTTGAAGGGAATGGAAAGCCTGAACACAGTTTGTATTGGCATCTCGACAAAATAAAACACCTCCCTCCCTTTTTTTTCATGCTTACCTTCACTGCTTCCCAGCTAGAATTAACCAGGTATTGTCTGAAGGGACCAAAACCTGAAAAGAAAGAAAGGTGCTTTTAACCTATGCTTGCTCTGCAATTGTAGATGAGGTGCTGACATGTATGCACACACATATTTGTTCTTTATCTTCATATTTTTGGTTACGGAGGTTGAGGGTTTTTTAGATAGGATTTCATCTTCATAACACTTAAGGGAATAGTATTTTCATTCTTTATATGCACTGATACAAGAACTAATCCTGCAATCTTCATTCATGTCAAGGCTAACTTATAACCTTAACTGAAGCTGGTACATGTACTGGAGCCAATAGGACAGATCATGTAAATGATTATTTTGGAAAAGGATCATCAACCATAGAAATACCACTACTAAAAGATCTGGTGTTTAATATTCCCAGGTCACAATCAACACACCATTCTCATTGCTAAAGCTCATGAAGATATATATATTTAACAAAAATGTTTCAAAGAGTAAAACTTGATATCATTTATAATTTTTTTTTAATCCCAAGTAATCAGAACTGAAGTGTTCTGTCTGGGAAAGCATGCTTTTTGTGGTGCTGAACAAAATCTTTCCCTCTACTTTTTCCTCACAGTAAAAGAGGAGGAAGAAAGGGAAAAGGATTTTTCAAATCCTAAGTACTACATTTAATTTTATGCATCCTTTTTTGTGAAAGACTTTTTTTAAAAATAAAAAGGGAAAAAAAACCACCCATGTTTCCAGCTAGATGGGCATTTTGTCATGAAAGAGTTTGACAGAAAACTCCCACTATCTTCATTAATCTTAATTACTCTTCTCAGTCCAGAGTGTTGCCAAGTGTTAGGTATCAGGTGGCAGGAAAACAAGTTTGTGAAATGGTTTTAATGCTAGAACTCTTAGATATTTAAAAACCCTTAAATGGACAAATAAACACTTGGCAGCATATGATTGCTATTTTGCACAGTGAAAGATACTTGTATTTTGGGACAATTAAGCCTAAATGAAGGCTTGTGACAGCTTAATTAATGCTAAACTTTAAGCATTTCTTGATTTGTTAATACTTATTTTGTAACTGCTCAATCTTTTTAATATTATGAAAAGCTGGATGGCGCTGATATTTTTGACAATGTTTTCCCCAGGTTTAAGTTTGTACTATGGGGAGAGAACAAGGGAAATAGTATTCATTTCACGTTAACAGGGAACATAAAACTGCACTAGTCCCACTCCGCTTTCAGAGCAAAACTAGGGTGACACCTACTCCATTTTGAAGCTGTACTTGTGCATGTTTGTGTACCTGTGTGTGCAGAACTGTAGAATTATAGTAAAGTTATTAAATAGTTTACAATGAAATACATGCATCTCAGTGATGGCTGTAAGAAAACTACTGCTTAGGATAAAATTGTTCTATGAAAAGAAATGACTAAATGTAAGAGAGTTTTACAGTACTGAAATACCTGCAACAACTTGGAGAGCTAACTGGCTGAATATTATTAGGTGCTATATAATAAACTGGGCTCACTGCCAACAGGTTTATATTATGAGCAGGTGAAAATGTGACAGAGACATGCTGTGATAATCCCTGTAACAGCTTAAAGATGCACCTGTGTCTTTAATAGGACACACTAGTCTAAAACTATTTGAAGAAGTAGATTTCTGCACGTAAATGGCTCTCTAAGGGGAGGAAAAAACTAATAAGGCGCTAAGAAGCGTGCCCATCAAGGGTATGTGCCATAAATATCATTGGAGAGAACCAGACTGTCAGGCTTTTAAGAGGTTAGCAAATACATCTTGCTCTATTCTGCACTCCCATTCAGTTCAACTGCAGCTATGTCTAAAGCAAGCTAAACTAGTTCTGCCCATCTTGCAGCTAGTTAAGAAAGAAAGTAGTGTTTAATTGAAAACAGTAAGATGCAAATCTCTTTGTAGCTTCAACCTCGTTCCTATGTCCTCAGATGACCTGCAGTGGAAAATTATCCAGCAACTCACATGTCAAGATATGTGTAATGATTGCCTTTAGATGAGCCAGTGGCAACAAGAGGAGTAGCGAGTAGCAACATTCCTTAGGAGCTTTAACCTTTTAAAGCTCAGAAGTCTCTAGCTGATGGTTCTGCCACTGTGATTCAGCAGTCGTTACAGCCAGCAAGAGAAACTCCAAATTTGGTCCCTCGTGCTGCATGTTCAGGCATGCTCCTTTGGTATATTTAAATTTAATGCTCTAGTTTAGCAGTGATGAGGCAGCATCTCCGGTTTAAATCTCCCTTACCTTGCCATGAAACTGAGACCCTGAAACTTGCCATGTGTTGCTCTAATTCTGGACACTGACTATGTGACGTTGTGATGCAACCTGGTTTCTTGCTTCAGAGCTCCTTTTGGGTAAGCTTTATCTAATACTAGCCTGCACTGCCTAGAGCTATGTGGTTTGGATCAGAGAAAATGTCAACAAAAATTAAAACATGGAGAGAATGAAAAACAAACCAAACTGGATGGCAGTAAAGAGGGCAGACTGCAGTCTGTTGCCTCTGACATACATCTGATTTTCTTAGCAAGGCACAGCAGCAAGTTATTTTCCATTTGGAATTGTTAGTATGACCATTTGCTACTGTTTTTCCCTCCAGGGAACTGTTTACGACAAAGATCAAGCATGTGTGCATACCATCTCTAGCTAAAAGAAGAATAAAATAAAAATCTTACCAGTTACAACCACCATGTTCGAACTTGAATCCATGAAATCTACTCTTCAGAATTTGCAATCTTGTTGTTTTTCAGTTCCAAACAGTATTATAATTCATGTATCTGTGGCAAACTTCATTTGGGGTACCTTCTTTTCTTCAAACTGTGACGTATCTAGATTCACATGACAGGGATGATTTGTGATTCATGTAACTTTCAAAGCAAAAATTGTTGTGTCTCTGTATTAAAGATAGAAGTCTGACTGACCAGCTGACTGTCCGGGACTGCCCCAAACTACTTTTCCTTTCTTCAAGCATGCAACAGTATTTAGGAAGAGAAAAGGCTTAAAGAAACTTCTTGCAAAATATCCAGCAATATTTTTCATCAGAAACCTGTTTATGCACAAGTAAACAGAAAATTAATTGAATCAAGTTTATTATATCTCTGTGGATGTTCTATTTTTAGCACAGTTGTAATTCACTTTAATTGTGAGGAATGACTGAACTACAAAAACATATCTGTCCACTTCCACTGTTCTTAGACTTTTTCTTACTGACTTAAAAAACTCAGGGGTAACTTTGCTGTTCTTCTTCATAGCAGTTATGTAATTTACTAATCCTGAGCTTTATCTTCTGCTCTTTGTAAGAGAGTCCCAGCAGCTTACACTTTTAAAACCAAACACCAACAGGAAAATGTATTTATTTGCTAAACCAAAACACTTACTCAGTAATATCCCTGAATAGGCAACATGTTAAAAAAAATCTCACTCCAACTTGCAAGGTCAAAGGAATTCTAGAAGCTGAGTTATAGCTTGCCGAAACTGGAGAGTTTAATAGCTGGTCTGTCTTCATTAAACTGAAGCACGAGAACCAATAGGGGGCCTGAAATCAAAACATATGCACATTGTCACTGCCCAAAACAAAAGCATATGAAAGTTCTCTTGGGAATTATAACTATGTGGGCAGAGGGTTTTGCTGGGTCTTGTTTTGAGTAGGAAGTGTATGTGTGTGTGTGTGTGTGTGAGAGAGAGAGGAATATGCTATTAAAAGAAAGCCACTATATAATCTCAAGAGAGCTGGTAATTGTGAGACCTTAAGAAAAAATCTCTGAAGAAATCTCTTGGATTGGGTGGTGGCTGAATGAGGTTTGGAGCTATGAGCTGTGTGTCATTTAAATCCTCCTGTGCTGAGACAGAAATAAATTTGTGGATTTTCTTAAATAAAAAGACCCTGATTCTACCATCCATTTCTTCCCCTGACTAATACAACTTGCAAAACTAACTTTTGCTAACCACTGAGGCTGAAGAAGTAGCTAACACAGTAAACACAGAAGTCTCTGCAGCTTTAAATAAGGCAAAATCTGCCGTTGACATCAGTGAACTACATCTATAATTCTACAGTCTTTCATTCTCCTATGTCAATTAAGATTTTTATTAATTAATTTTTCTTTGGGACCAGTTAGTAAAACTCTTCCTATGATACTGAACAGGACAATGACATACCAATCTTATAGTTATTTCTGATTTTTAAAAAAAAAAAAAAGAGCTCGATAGATATTATCAATTTAAAAAAATCTGAATACAGGGTGGTCTAATGAACAAAGCATACACAAGGAATAAAGCAAGATTTAAGGCCTATAGTTGCTTAATTAATTTCCTGCATGGGAAATTATATAAGTGCTTTGTTTCAGACATTATAGGTGCCTTATAGATATACGTGAAGGGTATTGCTTGAATGTCATAAAATATTAGGCATTTTAATAGATGTTTTTGCATAGCATAGCTATAAGTCTATGAGATCCATGCACTCTGAAACAACTGATATTATCTGTTCGGACCGTAGTACTTTTAAAGTGTTCACAACTGGCAAAAGACAGTAGAAAAAAATATAGTGCAAGGAAGACTAATTATTTCACTAATCCTTTATGAAGAAGCTGATAGAAGTTTTTTGGGAAAAAAAAAGAAGACACTTTTTAATGACTTTTTAAATTTTTTTTCAGTTAAGTATTGTCTTCAGTGTTAAGTTAGTCCCTTTCCATAAGTAGAGGGTTGCTGATTTGGTAGTGAAGATTCTGAGACCTTTCCAGTGTTATATGCTTGTGCAAATGTGGGAGGAATGCTAGTGGTTTCAATAAAACAGGAATCTGAAGTTCACTGAAATTCATTTTTGCGCTGATTTAATTGATTGCTTCTGTTCCTAGGTTTTACGTGCACAGTGGCATACTTGGAGGAATAATGCATGTATTGCAACTGCATTACATTTCTGTAACAAGCAAAAAAATAAAGGATATGGCTGCTTTAAAAAAGAATAATAAAATCTTCTGGTTAGGCCTAAGTTCTACTGAGAATTTTATTCAGAAAATGAAACCTTTTCTTTCCTCTTGAAATTTCTGTGAAAGCATGATTGTAGCTTTAATATTAGCACTCACGTGTATAGGTGCCCATAACAATAAATACCCAAGTCACTGGATATTTGAGGTCTGTGCAAATTAATCTCCCCATCCATAATTAAGAAACCAAGCCCTGGATATTTGAAGGCAAGTCACAGACGCAGCTGACTCAGCTAAACATTGGTTGTTTTTCTTCTTGCCTACACAAATGTGATTGGCATGGCACTCATCTTGAGGTAAAGAAGAAATGGAAGCAACTCAACTATGAAAGCCCTGGTTATCACCTTGAATATTTTTCTGTACAGTTGTCTGACACATTTAAAAATTATATGAACTGCTGAGCAAGAGAAAAATATATTTTCTGCAAATGCATTCTGTTCACATTACAGAACTGCAAGAACACTGCTCGAATAACTTTTTAGTACTGATGGTAACAAGAACTGAATATGGCCCTTCATTTAGAAACAGCTCTTTAATTTTTATCTCTTTTGTTACTACTTACATATAGATTTTTTATTTCTTGTTGTTGGCAGGCACTGACCAATGTTTGAAACTGTTAAGTGGAAGTGTTTAATATATTCCAATTTTTATCTCAGCTGTTCAACGTTTAATGAGCGGAGGGAGAAATCAAGCTGTTATGCTATTTAATATTAAACTATAATGGGACTTTAAATAGAAATTTCAGGATCTAACATTCTGTATTTCTTTTTCATTCTAATAAAAATAAATGATCCTCGGGAAAGACCGAAGCTGGTCTTTAGGTAGATGCAATGCAATGTCACAAAAAGAAAGGAGACAAACATTTCAGTGTAAAGCTCACTATTCCCTGGGGACGAATGCCTTTTCTATAACAAACTCCATAGAAATGGTAAATGGGAAAATGTAACAGCAATTTCACTTACCTTCTTTTGGACAGAAAACGTTATATATTTTATGTTGTTGCCTTATTTATATTAGTACTTCTGCAACTGGTACCATTGATGTACACGCAGTGCTTAGCAACAATGAAAAAACTGAAATTGTATATAATTTTAATGTAGTCAAGTGATTGAGTGGCTGTTATAATTTCAGTTCTGGTTTTCTTGCAGTATTAGCAAAAAACTGCTGTGTATGGACAGATTTTTTAAATTTTCTTTTTAATTGTTTCTATTAGTCTAATGCAGGGAGAAAGTACTTTAGCAGTAGAGCATGCAACTCAATCAACAGGTTGCTTTTGTTCAGGCATCATTTGCCATGCACAAAGAGACTCTGCAAGCAGGATACACACAATTTAAGTAATTATTTATCAGCTAATATGCAAAATAGATAGCTAGGACTAACAGATTACTAGGCCAAACAGTAATATGCTTACCACTCCTGATAAGAAAACCGATGAGTTTCCTGGCCAGGAAGTTTCCAATACACTGGGGAAAGTTGGTGTCTGCCATTTGTTGGTACAGGCTGACCCTCATCAATACTGAGTTATCTTCATGTTTTCTGCTTTTCTTTCCTTCTGTATCTTCTCTCTTGAATCTTTCAACAGCTAACTATTGTCACCCCAGTAACATTTCCATGACTTTACCTTCTTGTCTTTCATGGCTTTAGCTCATGTTCTTTCTTAGAGCTTAACAATTTTCTCAGTAAAACTCAGGCAATGTCACATGGCAATGCTGCATCAAACTAGGCCTTGGATGATGGTACAGCCAAACCTCCGGCCTGAGTGTAACATGGGAAGCAGAGGCAGGTACAAAGCTTCAAGTGATCACGAGACTGTGCTGAAACCCACTGATGCACTGTAAAGCACGGTTGTGCGACAGCTGCTTTTTTGACAGCATCAGCGTACGGGCTGAGATCGCTTTGTCCTGTTGGGGAACGAAAATACAAATCTACTTTAGTATGTGTTTTAAACCATTTGGAAGGAGGAGCAACCTTATAGAGTTTTCGGTCACTGTGCTGACAGGCAATGGAGTATCTAACAATGGTGTGAAGCATTCGAGATGTGTTCTTGAAACCTTGCCTCCAGGTCACAGCAGCGTTCCTGGACCATGTAAGTGCAAAGGTTGTTTCTGTGCAAATGTTAGGTTATTTCCATGTACTTTTCTCTTCATGTCTTTTACCTTGTGTCTGCTATTTTAGAAATAATGAAGTGGCTGAGCCCCTGCGGTAGGAGGGCTCCCAGGAGTCAACACCTGGATTCTGCTTTCTGACAACCGTGTGTTCATTTTAATCTCCATACCTCCATTTTACGGTTTGTAATAACGAACAGCAGGCTGCCTGCCCAGCTTTTCCAAAAGCCTCTTCCACACCGACTATGATCACTGCAGTACATTGCTCATGAATGCTACAAAAAAATGTAATTTTTGTACTTATTTTCCCTCGTAAACCTTCTGCTTTTGCCACCCGAGTTTAAAGAAGTTGGCGTTAGCTCTATGGTTTGTCAGTCTGGGCCTTTTACAGAGTAATTCGTAACTTTTGTTGGGAGGTTTAGAAGTTAGGACGCAGCCCTGGGCTGGCGCTTGCCAGGGCCGGGCCCTGCCGGCGGCGGGCGAGCGCTGCCCCCTCAGCCCGCGGCCACTTTGCCGGGGGGCTCCCAGCCC